TGTGTGTGTGTGTGTTTGAAGTGATCAGTCATTTTTCAACACATTCAGATCTAAAATTCTCAAGTGTTTTCAAGATAATTTTATTATATATATATATATATTTAAGAGCACAGAGGTAGATCAGAAATGATGACAGTTTTCAGGAGAATTTATTCTTTATTCTTCTTATTTATTTATTTCTCAAATAGAAAAACACACATGCTAAATAAGAACTGGCAAATACAATTATCCCAGAACAACTGTATATGAATGCTATTACATTTCCTGTTAACTTTACTTTGCAAAATCAAATTTTAAATTGTGTTGTTTCGCCTTCTGTTTCCAGCCCAGCTGGATTGCTGTAGACTTTGATAACTGGAGGGACTGGGAGCATGAAGAAGACGAGGGAAAGGAAGAGTTCTATAGATATGCGGATGTGAGTATATTTAATGTGTCCAGTAATACAACTACATTCTGATAATGTTGAGAGATTAGGAAACTGTGCATGGACTTTGTGATATTCACATTATTTCTCAATCTGTGTGTCTTTCCATTTTCAGATGATCCAAGAAATAGCCAGTAATAAAGGTGCAGCACCAGATATGGGTGATCTTAGTGATGTAAGTGCAAAGTTCTGGTAGTTTGGGAGGTTACATAAAAATGTAATATGGATCCCTTTTTCTGTTAAATCACACCTACTTTGCCTTTCTTCAACAATAAAACATGGATTATTGCCTATATAAAAATTGATAAACCTGTAGTCCTGTACACCAACTGCCTTCACAGCCATGACACATACACTCTTTTTAGCTCACCTTTTCATACTGGCATGCTGTGGTGTATTTATTTACTAGAAAAATCTAAAACTCACATTTTGATCATTTAAATGTTGACACTGACTTTCATCTTTCTTCCTCTACAGTCTGACTGAGACTCACTGTGCTCTCTCTCCGGTGACTTTATTGCTCAGGATACTGAAGACAACTTTTGCTGAAGCTTGTAATGTTTGCAGATGATTTGATAGGATATTGTCCACAATACTGTTTATACATATGTGATATTTTATATGGGTTATTTATTATTATCCACTGTACACTGACATATCATGTATCATGCCAATTTTAATAAACATTAGTTTTATCAACCATGATTTGACATTATTATGATATGATGGTACTGAAGTAATATTATGATATATTTATGTATGTTGTGTTTTTGCCAGTAAATAAAAGGCTTTATGCTGAATAGAGATGGGCAGAGGTTGTTGGTATGGTTTTTTATGTCAGTAATTTCAGAAGATGGCATAAAGCAGGTATAAGGATTGCAGCATAGTTAGTTATTTATTCATTCTTGGTACAGCCATGCAAACACACCAGCACCATAGACAGACAAAACAAGACAAGACAGACAAAAGGACAAAAATAAAATATAACAAGAAAAGTTCCTTAGAAACGGTAGATTAGCTGTGAAACAAATCTGCAAAACTTGTTAATATCACCAAGATTTAACATGAGATTTTTTTTACTACATTTGATCAAATTGTTTTTAATGATAAGTCTTTTATATAACAGTCGGTGATGATGTTTTAACCACTGATCATTGTTTTGGATGCTCATGGTTGGATGAACCCCAAGTTTTATGCTCTCATTTTTATTTTATTTATTTATTTATATATACTGTCAGTGGTTTTATGTTATACTGTCAATATATACACTATATTTTATGAGCGAACTTATAACACACGTTTTATATCAAATGTGTGTATTTTATTATGCTTTATATTCCCTATTATCGAACTTGTTTTGTTTCGCCTGTAAAATAAAATAAAATAAAATTCTTGGAGGAAAAAGTAAAAGTTGAAAGTTACGTACACGTGACATTTCCCCTTTTTTACGGCTTGTGTGATATTTCTATCACATTATAACAAATATCTTCTCAAGCAAGTCGACGCCAGCCAGAGTCGGTGGAACTAAGTTTGGACTATGTTGCTACCCGTACTTAGCCGATACTGTCAGAGTCAGTCATTCGTATTATATTAACGTGCTTCAGGTAGTTTTTCCCTCAAAAACACTCCAAAATGGCCTTTCAGTGTCAACGGGACTGCTATATGAAAGAGGTATGAAACAGTTTGAAGACATTTGAAATGTTTAATAGGATAAAAACAAACACCTGACCAACATTTAACGACCATTCTCTGCAGAAGTGATTAGCATGGTTGCTAACTACAGTGAAAGCACTGCCTAGTTACCCACTTTAACTATTGTTTACCTTAATTTAGAGCAATGTGCGTTTGGTATTTGTTGAGTTATATAATGTTGTAACCAACGCAACAGCAGAGTAGATAAAATGTGTATTTATAGCTAGCAACACACTCATGTTGTCAACCTAAAGCCATTATCAAAATGTAGGATTGTTCATTTCATTACCACAGTGGGAATGATAATTTAATGCATGCAGTTACTCTTATGATTGTCTTTTTGTGCAAACCCAGATGTTGTCTCACTCATGCTGTTGAGTATACGTTTGAATTCTATGTTTTTCTTTTTAGTTTGTTACCTCTGTAGTGTCCTGCTGCCCTGCTGAGCTCAAACAAGAAATCAATGGGAAGAAAGAAACTCTAAAGGGCTTCAATGTGAAGCTCCAAGACACCATCCTGTTTCCTGAGGGAGGCGGCCAGGTAGGCTGGTGTTTATGTTTGTATCCAAAGTAATACTAAAAGCCATACTATATGAAATTACTCTAAAAATGTCCTCCTTCAGCCAGATGATCATGGACTTATTGGAGATGTCCCAGTTTTGAGGGTGACAAGGCAGGGGCCTGAAGCCATACACTTTGTGAGCTCCCCTCTGGAGGAGGGCCAGGAGGTGCAAGTAAAGGTGGACTGGGAGAGGAGGTTTGACCACATGCAGCAGCACTCAGGTAAGACTAAATGAAAAAGGTCAGGTTGTAAATGTTCAGTATGCAGTAACTCATTTAGCAGATTGAACTGCGAATGCATGATCGTATATTATTACACACTTGTTCTAAGAGACGGTTGTTTTCTTCCTCACTCTTAGGGCAACACTTGATCACAGCTTTGGCAGATTCATTTTTTGGATACAAGACCACATCCTGGTACGTCACCATTGCATTGATGGCTTCCCCTCCAACCATAAAAACATGCACATTCACTTCTCCTCTCTGTTGTTTTTTCTTATTTTCAGGGAACTTGGTCGTCAGAGAAGCACCATTGAACTGGACACTCCTTCTGTGAAGCCTGCTCAGCTCCAGGCACTGGAAGAAGCTATAAATGAAAAGATCAGAGCCCATGTCCCTGTCACTGTTCAGCTTCTCTCTATAGATGATCCTGCTGTGGAGAAGGTGCATATACTGATATTGTGCAGTCCTCTTACTGTGCAATCATTGACTCAAAAGTCAAGGTTTTAGATATTGTTTCAACACATTTCTTTTGAATGTACTGCATATATTACCTTTCCTACAGATGAAGAGATTTTGCATGTGTTCATAAGTTTCATGAGTTGTGTGTGTGTGTATAAACCAGGTGAGGAGTCGAGGCCTGCCAGAGGACCATGCAGGGCCCATTCGGATCATTGATATTGAGGGTATCGATGCCAACATGTGCTGTGGAACCCACGTGTCTAACCTCAGTCACTTACAGGTTTAGCTTCACACAAGCACTTAGATGTGACTTAGAAAGTGTACATTCATTACTTTACACATATTCATATGTCATACTTGTAAGATTAGGTGTTCTCTTTATCTGAATTGTAGGTAATAAAGCTGCTGGGAACAGAGAAAGGAAAGAAAAACAAAACAAACCTCATCTTCCTGGCAGGAAACAGGGTACTGAAGTATGCTGAGAAAAGCTACAGCACAGAGCGATCACTGGTGTCTCTCCTCAAGTAAGTTCAAAGTCTGAATGATCAAAATATCACCAATGTGATTTAAACTCAAACACAAAGTTGTGAAACAAAATCTTTGTCTTTGCTCAACAGAACTGGACCTGATGAGCATGTTGAGGCAGTCGACAAGTTGCAGAAGTCTGTTAAGCTACTACAGAAGGTAAGAACTTTTCATCAGTCATCAGCAGTGACCTGCTGTTTTGTGTTTGAGAACTGTAAAAGCAATTCCCGTTGCTTGCCAGAAGAGGGCCCCATTTAAAGAATGAGAATCTTTCAATTTTTCCACATACTGTATGTTTGCTCCAATATAACACACTGCAGATTCTCTAACCATCATAAAAATGTCTTGGGCAGACTAACCTGAGCCTGCTACGAGACATGGCTGTCCTAATCGCTCAGAACTTTAAGAATGACCCCCAGCGAGGCAACTTCTTCAGCTTGCACAAGTAAGAGAAGGGCTTGTTTGTAGATACAGCACTATACATTGCTCTAATGTTAAACATCTTCGAAGAACCAGACAACGTACAGAGAAGAACTTTCAGATAGAAAATGGTGTTTCTTTCTCTTTCTACAGGAAAGAGGGTGACAACGAGTTCATGAATATCATTGCCAATGAAATAAACACTGAGGTAAGATGATAACCTGATTGCTTAGTTCTTCTTGCTAGGAGTTAAATATATTTTTTAAGCCCCCCTTTTGTCTACTGTTAGGAAACTTTGGTTTTCTTGACTGTTGGAGAGGAGAAGGGACCTGGTTTGTTTGTTCTGGCTGGTCCCAGTGGACCAGTGGCTGAGCTGGGACCACGGTAAGAGAGACACCTCCACATGTGAATTTAGCCTCTAGTTTAAAATCCTGAATGTAGGTCAGTACTGTGAGACTCTGTGTCCTCTCCAGGGTGTTAGAGATTCTCCAAGGAAAGGGGGCTGGAAAGAACGGACGTTTCCAAGGAAAAGCCAACAGCCTGGCACGAAGAGGGGAGGTGGAGGCCCTGCTGCAGCAGTACTGCAAACATCTCACCTCAGAGGAAGAATAATCCCAGCAAAGGTTCAACACCAAGAAATATTTTATAATAGCAAGCTTTACATTTAATTATTCATAATTTGTGGTAAACGCTTAACTAATGTAAAAATGTATATAATTGGAGCTTCTGTACAATAATTCTGAGCTGTACAATGTTAAATATCATGGACTAATTTTTTTTTTATTTCACTCAAAATCTCATCTGTGATGTTAAATCTGTGATCAGATTTCCGTTTGTCCTTATTTTACAAGTAATACTCTGTTTTATATATTATACGTGGCAGGATTACTTGTGAGTGACCAGAAAGATAGAAACCCTTGCACAATGTAATACAATTAAACAACAGTCCTTTAATAAATACCATGACGTTGAAACTTATTTATTAATTGTTAATCACCTCGTTTACATACAGTATGAAACACCTTGCAATAATGTGCAATCCAATACAACAAAACCCCTAAATATAGCCTCAAAAATCCATCCCTCTTGCACACATTGTCACCAACAAATACGATGTGTGTGTGGGTGTGTATGTGTGAGATAAAAGCTGTGGTTTAGAATCAAATGTATTGCTGTCTGTCGCAGTTTAGCGGTGTAGACAAAGTGTTCATGGTAAAATATGACAATATAGTGCAAATGTGCAAGCACCCCTTCCCATTTAGGTAAACCTCTAAAATACTATAGGCAATAAAAAAAGATATTGAGATTTGGCAGTAGTTGTGCCCAGTTCATGTGATCCTGTAGACATTTTGAATTGTCCTTTTTCAGTTCCACTGCTCTTCCTCCATTGTAGAGTTAGCTTAGTGGTTTCACTATCTTCATTGAGATGTAGTTCTGGAAAAGGCAAAAGAGAAATTTAATTAAATCACTGCCTGACCCTAAGTTTGGACTAAGCACATAAAGCACGTAGCATTATTTCAGAATGTATGCCTCCGATGGTCCCTCTTGTCTATCCTTACCGGTAGAGAGTATAGCAGGATGGCAAGGAAGAGAATCACTATGATGAGGATGATGAGTCCAATGAAGAGGCACCTGAACCTTCGCCACACAATGAACTTCATGGTCTTACATGGGTTGGTGAACCAAAAGAAGGATGTTTCTGGGCGTCTGGTGGTTATGGAAAATAAAAGAGGACATTATAGCCCATGTGTTGACAGTTAAACTAGTCCTGATTCATCCCAACCATTTATTTATTTAAATGACAACTAAGAAAGAAAGAAAATATTTTACATTTCCAATCTGCAGAATGTAAAATAGGCTATGTTTCACAGTCTGAGTTCTTACTTTGGAGGGTCCAGTTTTGGGTTCATGTTGGGTTCGTCCCTGCCTTTTCCTGCAGGTCTCTCATCTGCATCTGCTTCATTTATAATCTCCAGTGTCATCTCCACTTTTCCCTGTAAACATAAGACGAGCAGGCATAATGAGCAAGATAAAACATAGTAACAATGAGGATCTCTACTTGTGGAATATCCAGATGTAACAGAAATCTGTCCAAGCTTCTGCAGTAAATAGTTAATTTAGTACATATATAAACTGTAGCATTTGATGCCCCAAGACACATCTAAAGTCAAGAGAAAGTCCAAATCTGGAAACCCAAAACAAGGATAAATATGAGGGGAAAGTACTGACTTTGTTCTGTCAGTCTTAGGAGACATAAGTGGGAAGCGCAAAAACAGTTTTAAGTCAATATTGTCCTTGGTCATTCCAAAATTCCTACTGAGAGTCTACTGCAAAAAGTCTTCAACTAGTGTGGGGCTTCCCATCCAACCCTGTTTTTGTTCATTCATTTACTCAATATTACAGGTCAAGCCACAGTTTACCTATAAAAAAAGGCATCCATCGGTCTCTAGGTGTACTTTCTAGTCATACTCACACCCAGGACCTTCTTCCCATCATTTTCAATGGAACATGGCCACCAGCCTCTGACTGACTGCTGAGCAAACAGAGACTTGGTATGCTCGGTCTTGTGTGGAGTTTCCATTTCGAGAACATCCATCATCGTCAGAGAACACTTCTCTGGGGTCTTCGCAGGAGCAACCAGGTTACGCAAATCCAGCTCCAGTGTGCCTGGAGTGTTATATTGCAATGGTCAGGTTTTGTAATGGTGGTCTCTAGATAAACCAAACACATGTAGTAAAGCTTTTTTTGGTTAAATGATGAGTCTTACCGAGGTAATCGTCCAGTGAGAATTTGTCGTTATCCCAAATCTGAACAATCAGCTTGGGGGGAATCCTGAACTCTGTTTTGTCAAGACTCCAAAAGTGCTCCTTTGAAGGAAGAACGTCAAAACATGTTTTAGATTAGCAAATGCATCAATGCCTCATTTTTTCATCTGTACAGGATTCAAATGGTTTTTATTGTAAGTGATAGTTTAGACAAGGCCTCACCTTCTTGGACACAAGACAGAGCTGTTCAGCAGGCAGGAAGTCGAAGTTAAAGATGAACCTCCAGTTGAAGTTGCCATCTCCGTCTAGAGACCTGTAGTGGACATCGGTCTTCTGCTTGTCCTCCTCCATGCCTGGCATCCAGCTGGCCAGGTAAGGGAACAATAGATGTGAGCATTTATTATCCTATCCCAATAGCTTTTAATAGTAACCTTCTAGTATACAGTTAGGCTTTTAAAGAACTAAATAAAATCAATGTAAATCAGATCGTGGGGTTTAGAAATGGCTGCTGATGAGAAACAACATAATGCAAGACTACAAAAAATACTCAAAATGTTAAACTAAAAGGCATGAATGTAGAAACAAAGTCAAACTGTAAATATAAAATTCAAACACTAAGAGTTCATTGGAAGGATTCATCAGCCATACCCTTTGACATAGATGTCACTCATGTGTTCTCCTGTGATGCTGGTCTCGTCTAAAGTCACATCTGTGGTGTTCCAGATGACAGCACGCAGAATATACCTGAACATCCGAAAACGCTTAACGTTAACTCAGTGGCATTTGATGTGACCCAGTGATGGAAGTACTGAAGAACTGGACAGCACTTACTTCTTAGCCTTGCGTGGTGTGATGTCAAAGGGGGGTCCAGGGACGCCAATGGATTTGGGGAAGACGTCCACCCACATTTGAAGGCTTCCCTAAATTAACACAATATAGAGGTTTAGAAAATAGCTGCATCAGAGTGGCTGTAGATATATAGGGATTACAGTATTTGTCTAACCTGAGAGAGATTGGGCTGGAAGCTGCTGTAAAGGGTCCTGCTCTCCACATGTTCAGGTACAAGTCCCTGTTTTCTGAGCACGTGCAGACAGAGTCGTTCTCGGGCCAGACCCAAGTGCTGATGAATTTCCTTGTTGTCTTCTGGATGTGAAAACATATTGCGCCTTAATACTAGTGATACTTTGTCATTGTGCGCATGTTAGCATGCTGACATAAGTATTATCAAGTACAGTATCACAGAGCTATGCTAGCACATGACTGTAGTAGTCTTGTTGAGGAATATTTGTTTGAACAGACTTTACTATTGTAAAAATAAATGAACAGTAGCATAGTTGGATGAAAAAAAAATGTCAGACTTGGTTGAAAATTATTTAGTGAGAGACAATGTTGTTTTAAAGGACATCTATAATGGACATTTAAATAGTGACATCTAGCAGTAAAACTGCAGATTGCAACCAACTGAACATCGCTATAATGACAACCTGGAAATGAGAATGGGACGTGGGGTGTCAGCAGTCCAATCAAAATTAGATTCCATCACACTCATTTACTCTACTTCATTTTAAAATCACTTGACATTACCAAACTGAGCCAGCGTATACTCTTTGCCATTGAAGGTGAGCGATGTGCCGTTGTCTTCAGTCCTGGGTTTGGACAAGCCTTTCAGACGAGCCATGTTCTCCAGAATCTGGGACGGCTTCAGCTGGTCCCGCCACTGGTTGATACCAGAACTAAAATGCCATGAGAAAGAGAGAGAGAGATCGAAGAGAGATTCATTCTGCCTGCATAGATATTTTAGGAACATTTATTTATTTTATCAGTTAAATGCATTTCCCCCTCAGTCCTAAGACTGCCCACAACAGATTTTCCTACATGCAGTAGGTTTGTGGCAGGCCACAGTAGGAGTTATATCGGGACAGGAAGCGGTTTTCCAGATCAATCACTGTCTCGCCGACCTTCTCGTCTCGGCTCAGGAGATCATAGTCATAGACTGAGATTTTCAGGTCCTTGTCCTGGGGCAGGAAACACGTCATCTCAAACATCCTAAACAAAACAAAAGAAGTGTTTGAGGAGTTAGAGTGTGCGCTGGAGTTACCCTTTGATTGTCAATATTGTGTTCATTCATAGCATTTACCTTCCAAACACTGGGTTCGTGGTGTTAGGTAGGTAATGGTCTCTGTCGTCAACCGTATGCCTCCCCAGTGATATCTTTATGTATGGATCACACTGAGCAGGAGAGAGAGCACAAGTTAAAGCGGATGGTGCCGACTGGGCCAACGTGTGTCTTATTGCTGCTAATATAGATTCATTCTCACTCTTCCATTGTTGTCTTTGGGCTGCAAGTCTATGGCCCGGATCACATAAACCCTGACCAGACACTCCTGAGGTCCACTATCGGGCAGCTCTCTGAACTGACGGGGAGGAGCAGCGACACCTGGGTCGTCAGGCAGAGGATACACCTTGAATGAACCCTGCAGGTACAAGACAATACACAAATCTGATTTTACCTTTACAAATGTACTTTATAAATGAATCAACACATTATAAGCACTAATAAAATCCTTTAAGCAATGTTTTACAGTATCTAATTAAGTGTTAGTGTCTTGAATGGTGTTAAACTACCTTCAGCTCTCCAACCACACTCGGGTCGTCGTCGCCATTTTCATTTTTGCCTCGCTGCAGTTTGAAGGTGCTGCAGAAATCAGTCAGCCCTTTGAATTCTGGGACATCCTCCAGTTCGCAGTCATACACCTGAGAAAACACGTCACATTTAAGTCATCTACAGCTCAGGAGAGAAACCTTTGTACATGTCGTAACACTTTGTTGTTGTAATACAGAGATGCGTAAATAATGATCATCACACACAAGTGAATTAATACTATAAAGTGCATTGTCTCTGAAGAAATAAAGACTTACTTTGAGGGTGTCATATCCTTTTTTGAGGTAAGGGCGACATTTCTCCTGGTCTCCAGTTGAAGCGTAGAATTTACTCCACCAATCAACGGTCTCTTTTTCCTAAAGATTGAAGTGCACATTTTTAATCTCTGTACATATATTTTCTACATTTGGTACAAGAAATCTGAAATCTCAGTCATATTCTCCTGTTTGCGCTCACCTTCTCTACATGCTTTGGAGAAAGAAGACGTGGTGTGACATAAAAACAGAAAAGAAGTCACATACAGTAGTAACATACACATACACATACAGT